TTTCACCTCCGGTGTTTGGTCGTTTAATTCGAGCACGCAAGGCTGGGTCGAACCAGACCAGGGGAAACGACCGACCCGAGGGCAAAATCGTCCTAAAAGAAATGACGCGTGGGCCCAGACTTGGAAAAGGAGGAAAAAAGTTAAGCATGCTCCTATTAATTGAGCCAAATTGACACATGTGTGTTTTCCATACTAATAATTTCATGTATCGTCGTCGTCTATATAGATACGTATGTAGTGCATATTGAAATCTCTAAAGAAAAAAAAGGTAACTTGCTCCTCTGACCGAAAGCAGAAGCAGAGTGGATCTTGGGGAGGAGCAGAGAAAATGATGAGTCGGGCGAGGCCTAACCTGAAGAGCGGATCGGTCCGGCTGGAGCTCAATGGCGGCGGCCGCTGGTCCGGGTCTCAGCTCGACGGCGAGTGCGGAACGGGAGCTCAAGCTGGCTGTCTCTTCCAGGATGCCAGATCTAGTCCGGAGGGGGATGTAGACTGGACCGTATTCTCACAGTGGAAGGCGTCTTGCAAAAGCGGAAACGGATTTTCAAGCCTGGGACCGGTTACGTATGCAAACGGAGCCGCCCCATTGCTTTGCTTGGAGCCTTGGACATGGTGCCGGCCTAGAATGGTCCAGCAACCACTGGCCTCAAATTTCATTGGGTAACATGGTCCGACCATTTAAATGCTAGGTCAGCACTAGAATCTCTACTACTATTAAACAAGCAACATACTCATCCCTAAGTGCACTCAACCTAAGCTACACATAACAGCACAAATCAATTACAGCCTCACGATTAGCATCATTTAATTTGATCAAACCGTTAGGATTACACTAACCCTCAGCCAAAACTGCGTTTAGCATTTTTCAAGGGCAGACGAAAACTCTGCTATCCCACGCCCGCTATTGCTACAACACGCGCGGCATGAAAATAGAAAACTGATCGCAATCAGATTCCATTAATCTTGTTGCGTTACTTCTCACAGCAATTACCCCACGACCCCTGCCGCACGAGACGCAATCTACTCTTCTTCTTCAACATGGACGAGCCCCCTCCCATCTAAAGCAAACCACAATAAGATTGTAGGCGGCGAGGGCGCGGCCAAGTGGCATCGGATGTTGCTGCCGGCAATGCACCTCGGTGAGACGATGCTAGAGATAGGTTAGGCCAGTCAGTTCGCCGATACATCATGGCGCGAAGGCCGATCCACCCATGGCCCCGAAGCCCATCGCGAGGACTAGGAAGGACACCGCTGAGCAGATGTCGTTCCGGTACCATCGCGCCAAGGAGAAGCAGAGCCAGCGGGGCACAGCGGGAGCCGAGGACGCCACGCCGACGTCATGTGGGCACGTCCGGTCCCATTTACAGTTCAAGCCCACTACCCCCGCTGGCCGCCCATTGGTGCCGTGGGACAAGAAGACGGCTTACTGGGCCTAATCACACCCTATGTTGCATGTGGGCCTACTGGGCCTTCTGTGGGCCTGAATCCTGACTCATGGTTGGGTTTCTAGTCGTATTCAGGCTGTAGTGGCCCAGTAGGTGGCACTTTTTTTTTGCTTTATTTATTTTATTTTGTTTCTACTTATTGTTGCTATTTTTAATTATTGTATTAAAGTTTATTTATTTTACTTTATTAAAGTTTATTTGGTTTCTATTTATTTATTAAAGTTTATTTTGTTTCTACTTATTTATTAAAGTTTATTTTGTTTCTACTTATTTATTTTCTTTCCTTTTTACCTTTTTATTTATTTTACGAAAATTCTTTTTTTTGCTTTACTTACTTTATTTTGTTTCTACTTACTGTTGCTATTTTTATTTATTTTATTAAAGTTTATGTATTTTACTTTATTAAAGTTTATTTTGTTTCTACTTATTTATTAAAGTTTATTTTGTTTCAACTTATTTATTAAAGTTTATTTTGTTTTTATTTTATTTTTCTTTTCTTTTTTGCTTTTATTTACTTATTTTATGAAAATTCTTTTTTACTTTATTTATTTTATTTTGTTTCTACTTACTGTTGCTATTTTTATTTATTTTATTAAAGTTTGTTTATTTTACTTTATTAAAGTTTATTTTGTTTCTACTTGTTTATTAAAGTTTATTTTGTTTCTTATTTATTTTATTTTGTTCCTACTTATTTAGGCATCTCATTGGTCCCGGTTCGTGGCATAAACCGGGGCTAAAGGGCAGCCTTTGGTCCCTGTTGGAGCCACCAACTGGGACCAATGGTGGCGGGCCAGGAGCGAGGCCCATTGATCCCGGTTCGTCCCACCAACCGGGGCCAAAGAGGCCAGACGAACCGGGACCAATGCCCCCACGAGGCCCGACAGGCCCCCTGGCCTCACGAACCGGGACCAATGGGCCCATGGGTCCCGGTTCGTGACTGAACCGGGACTAATGGGCTTATCTGGCCCGAACGTAAGCCCTGTTTTCTACTAGTGACATGAGATGGAGGCTCTGGAGCCACCTGCTCAGGAGCCTCGGTCGGGACTGGACCCACGGCCACCCCATGGGTCTTCTTCTTCTTATGCTTCTTCTTCTTCTTGTTCTGAGTAGGAGCACCTTGATCTTCCGGAGACCGGTGCGGGGGAGAAGACCGCACCGGCCGGACCTCGCCCCGCCGCCTATCATAGGCCGCACCGCGCGGCAAACGACGGTCATCCCCCCGAGAGGAGACCCGGCCATCATCCCCCTGCCGCACGGACGGGCCATCCCGCGGGGCATAGGAGCTGCCTGACCCCGACCCGCGGCGACGCCAATCGCCATCCGAGGGGCGGGGAGCATCCCACCCAGCAGGGTCGCGAGGGGTCGAACCCGCCCGGTCCCGAGCCACCGGAGACGGACGAGAGACCAGCTCCTCCCGCAGGGCCGCCTCACGGTCCAGGTCCGCCTGCCGCCGACGATCGGCCTCACGACACCGGACATCACCCTGGGACCTAGGAGGGGGAGACGGGGATCCCTGGCCGGGTCACGCGGCGGAGGCGGCCGGCGCAACGAGGTGCCGGAATATGTTGCCGACGACCTCTCCGGCCGTCCGGACTCCCCCAAAACTGGCGCGCCGACGGGAACGACTCAGGGCGGCCCTCCGCCGCAGCAGGCAGCGGGCGCTTCGGCCGGGGCTGGCCAACACCGGCGTCCCGAGCCATCAATGCCTCGAGGTAGGAGCGGGGGCGCAAAGGGCGAAGGCGGACAACGGCGAGGCGGACGGGAGAAACGCACCCTGGGACGAGCACGGGGGAGAGAGAACAGGCGAAGCGAGCGGGAACGAAGTAGAAGAACCCGAATGTGGCGACGCGGGGTGGATGAGACGGGCGAATCGGCGCCCTCGTGCCACATAGACCCTAGAAGCCGGCCAACCACACCGCAAGTCAGATCCACCCCGTTGAATCCACAGCCAACGGGTCGGATCAGCGGGTGCGAGGCGCCACTCCCGGTTGATCTGGGCCAGGATATCCTGGGCCCGCTGGGCCACGGCGGCGATCTCCAGGGGAGACAGCCCACCAGTCGCCACAACATTGGGCCCGGCCCAACGCCGCGCAGGCCCTAGACGGCCCACGCAGCGGAGGGGGCAAGGCAGGGTCCAAGCGGAGGGGATCTCCCTCGACCAAGACCGCCGCCGGCGGCGGGGACGGCGCCCGGACGGCCGCCCCGACCATACCCCAAACACCGGACGAGCCGGCCGTCACACCCACAGCCGGGGACCTGCCCGACGCAACCGGCGACGGCCGACGCGGAGGCACACGGAGCTCCGTCGAATCAGAGGAGCCCAAAGTCCCGCGCCCCCGGCAAGCCATCGGCGCGCCCTACGGCCAAGACCTCCTTGACGCGCCAGCGCCCCGGCGACGAACCGGCCGTGCCGCCGCCCAGAACTCCCCAAACGAGGGCGGGGCGAGCTTTACGTGCCGCTGCCCAGAACTCCCCAAACGAGGGCGGGGCAAGCTTTACGTGCCGCTCCACCGGGCCGTCCTCCGCCTCGTCCTCCTCCGCAAGATCTGCCCAACTCACCTTCCGGGGAGCGCAGCTGAGCGCTGGCCCCAGGCCAACGGCCGCGGCCGGCTCCGGCGCACCGGCGGCGAGTTCAGGACGCCTCAACGGTCGCCAGAGAGGAGCGTCCGTACGTGTTCGAACTCGAATATCATCGTAGTCGGACATTCTGTTTGGAATCTCTATAATAGGTTCGCTGGTATTTATCACACAACGAACTGCTTTTAAACTGACATGGCATTGATCCTTCGTCAATAATTCACGTAAACGAACCGAGGGTTGCTGCGAAAACGCCCACAGCTGATAGTCGCCAGTTAGGCTGCCCATAATGAAAGTATCATAGGTAGTATCATGAATGCCAACTAGACAACGTTGATGAGGTGTCATAGAATTAAATGAAAAAAAGAGGGTTGAGTATCATATCATGATACCGTATCATATTAAATAATGTGCTATTATGTTTCATGCATGTCAATAAATGAACTCTCCTATGATACTTCCCATTACAACCGACCTTAGCTTTTCCAAAAAATAAAGCCAGTGATGCTGCTGACTCGAGAAACAAACGTTAGTGCATATTTTGGCTATTGTTGTAGCACACCATCACGATACGAACAAAAACTGTGATAATAACCAGCTAACCACTATTTGTTGTCCGGTCGAGTTGGAGAGAAGCTGAATAATGGAGATATCGCTGACACGCCCTCCATCATCGATCGTATACCCACAGTGTAAACTAATATTAGTGACCTAAAACGTTTTATATTTCTTTACAGATTTAGTACATGTCTAACCACCGACAGCATTCCGTGAATTGCAAACAACTAACACCGTGGAAACCAGACCACTGGCTAGTTGGGCACTCCACTTGAGTGGATTCTCACCTGGGCGCACAACTCAATCCGCCACCTAACCCGACGCACAACAACAGAAACCATACGCACCGGGCAATTCAGTTCAGCAATCATTGCTGGGAGGAGCTAGGGGGACGCGCACGGAAGGTACGCAGCCGGATCCATGGAGAGTGTCGGCGACAAGGTGATCAGCAGGGCTCAGATTACGGGCACGTTCACGGACTCCACCGTGATCCCCGACAGGTATGTCCGGTCAGATGAGGCCAGGGACGGGGTGGTCGTGGGCGACGACGAGAGCTACGAGCTGCCCGTCGTAGACATGGCGAGGCTGCTTGACCCGGAGTCCTCGGAAGCGGAGGTCGCCAAGCCTGGCTCTGCGTGTCGCGACTGGGGCTTCTTCCAGGTATGCTCCTTGCGTTCTCGAGCATCTTCGATGCCAAAAAGATGCAGAAGTTTTGAGCTTTTTCTGTTTACTGTTCATTGAGTGTAGGTGAGTCCATACTCAAACGTGAATATGCTTCGTAATGGCCCCTAGACAAAATCATGGTGCGAGATCTTGTTGCTTAGGAAATATTAATTTCTGGCACGACTGCACTGAATTTTCTGTAATTTCTAGAGATCTTCATGAAGCTACATGCTCTATCTAAACCAGTCACTCTGCATCAACATGCATTGTTATCCTTATATAGAAATTTCTCTTTTTTTGTTTTTTCCACACAAGAGAGCATTTGACCTTGAATCTTATCAGGTCAACTATACATAAGTTCCACTCTTTGTATAAAATGTTTCCAAAATTTCTTTCAAAGTTCTAATGAGTTGTATCATTTTTCAAAATTTCTATTGCACCAAAAAATAAAATAAAAACATTTCTGCACATGGTAGTACTTGTGTGATGTTGTTCTGCAAAGTTTCGAGTTCAGTTGTTCTTTTTTTGTGAGAAACAAAAAAGAGGAGTTTGGCCACACAAGCATTGATGCACAAATGAACTCTAAGGATAGATTGTATAGTGGTATACTAGTACAATCACAACTTTCCCAATGACGAAAAACATTAAAAATTTGTTTGACTGAAATGCAACATGAATTGTAGGAAACTTGGCGTAAGTTTCGGTATCCTTTATTCAGCTCCAAGTCATGTGGTAGAGAAATATTTTGACAAGAGTTCATATATTTTTCTATATCTAATATCCTGCTAAAATGGCTAAAAAATTTCAATGTTGTGGTGAAATTTCATCGAACGTATCCAAAAGTACTTTGTTGATCAGTCTCCGGGATTATCTATTTATCAAATTCACATCTTCTGTATTTGCAGCTAACAAACCACGGAGTCGACGAAACAATTGTACAAGATATGAAAGATAATACTGTGCAGTTCTTTGGCTTGCCGCTGGAGAAGAAGAAAGCAGTGGCCATCCAAGCAGGTGGCCTCGAAGGGTTTGGACACCACTACAGCAGAGCATCCTGTGAAAAGTTGGACTGGGCTGAGAGTCTAATCCTCGTGACGGAGCACAAGGAGCAAAGGAACATTCGGTTTTGGCCTGCCGATCCATCAACATTTAGGTCTTAATAATACACTATTAATCTTCTTCATCTCTTGCTTAAATTACATGCTGCATTCCTTTGTCTCACTCTCATTTGTGTGCATATACAAAAAAATCTTTCAGGGATGCACTTGACAAGTACTCAATGGAGATGTCAGACCTCACAAGTCGCCTCATGCCGTTCATGGCTAGCGACCTCGGAGTCGAGCAGGAGACGCTTGTGGGAACCTTCCAGGGTAAGAAGCAGAGCGTGGCATTCCACTACTACCCTCAGTGCCGCCACCCAGAGAAGGTGATCGGCATCACGCCGCACCACGACGGCCTCGCCCTCACGCTGCTGCTGCACGTCGACGACACCCCCGGCCTGCAGGTGAGGAAAAACGGCACCTGGTACCCGGTGAAGCCGCTGCCAGGCGCCTTGGTCATCAACGTTGGCGATATTCTCCAGATCCTCACCAATGGCACGTACAAGAGCGTCGAGCACAGGGTATTGCCGGACGTTGAGAAGGGCCGGGCCACCGTGGTGATGTTTCAGCATGCTTGTGTTGCCGGGATGGTGAAGCCGCTCCCGGAGCTAGGCGAGGCGGCGTACAGGGCGATCGAGAAGGTTGAGTACATCAAGGGGAACTTCAGGGCGCTGGCCGAAGGGACATGGTTCGTGGATAGTCTCAAGATCAATCATGGAACCTAGTTACCTAGATCCAGGATGGAATATAAAGAAGTTAATTTCTTCATTTTATGTCGTGTATGTATGTATCCAACGGCAATAACAAACCTGGACCAAAAATAAATAAACTCGATTGGACATTTTTTTTGACAAAGGGTGCTTTTTATTGGAGTGAAATGCACCACTAGTCTACTAACTCAAACTAATTACACCTTCTAGGGCAACAACTCCAGAAGCGATCGGATTTAGTTCATAAACTCGTTTATTTGATCTAATAAGGCCAAAAACAATCCAAGAGGAAAAACCAGCCAAGTGGCTGCCAGGTCATCGTTCCTTAGTCTGTTATATAACTGACTACTTTTTACAGGGACCTATTTGCAAATTGACCTATTTGTCTAGCAACCTCGCTCAGCTAATGGCCTATCTTTACCTAGTAGTAGTAAAGCAGTGCTGATACGGTTCACCATCGTGTAATTTTGCATAAAAGCCCATGTGATTTTTGTTATTCAACTCGCATGCCAGATTTGCTTCTGCTCGTATGCTATCTTTGATTTTCTGGTACGTCCGTCGCTCAGATGGGCCTGCTAGGCTCGCCTAGGCCCTCTCCACAAATTTCTAGTTTACAACTTATTATGCACAAATTTAAGATTCGAATAGATAGTCCCATCTCGGTACTTTACATCAAATGCTAGCAACTTATATACGTTCCAAATTACAAGAACCAACAAGCCAACAACACAATTAAAGAGGAGAGGTTCATAAATCCAACAAAAAACAGTATGGGGTGCCCAGCCTAATAGAAAGCTCGAGACAGTGCCAAGAGGATACAGAAAAAGATTCAAGATTGATAGCGCCGACCTGAAGACCTGTTGCTGACACCAACAACGTGGGTAGCATGCAGAGTACAGAGATGGAAGCTCGCGCCGCACCAGCATCTTCTGGCACCGGTAGCCTCAGTGCCCCCAGGAGCTCCAACTGGCCGAAGAACGTGAATGAGCGGAGCCACGATGGCAGAGGAGCGAGAGGCGCTCGGGCAGGAGGCTGCCAAGCTACGGGGGAGGCGGCGCTCGCTGGTGGAAGCGGCGGCGGTCGGATTAGAAGGCCGACAGCGGTAGGGGATCGAGCACCAGGGAAAATGAAGGAGAGGGCGAGGGAGAGGGGATCG